TGAGAAGCGAGTGGTGTTCCGGGCCGTCATGTCTCCTATGTCAGTGATATACTATTATATATATATATATATATATATAATTGAATTTGATTGTATTTTTGGTTGTTTCAACAAAATCGTTTTAAAAGTATGTAATAACGATTGAATTCTCATCGATTGTGTAACAAAAGATTTCAACTTCTCACTTTCACTCATTGTGTGAGTACATAATGGATTATTGCTTTCTACTATTCATATACAATATAATTGATATTGAAAAGTGGAATAGAATCGTGATTCTTTCTATTGGTTGTCTTTTGCTCGATACAATGATTCTTCGGATTAATCGGTCATTTTATATTGTTACTTAATCTCTCATTTGTAAAATCGGTCAACGACAATGATAAAGTACAAAATGATAATAACGGTTCATCACTACTAAAGACGATTTTTCTATGTTCTTAGTGTCAAATGATTCCACATTGAAAATGATCAGGATAAACTAAACGAGAACCCTGTATCATTTCAATGTACTTTTCACTCCAAGCATATACCAATATCGATATATATAAGTACATAGATTCGAAAATTTTAAAAGCAGAAGGATTGAAAGACAAATGGAAGTGGCTGTCAAATTTGAATGATAATGAACAACTCTAGCGTTTTGTAACAATTTCCGAATACTTCCATCTATATATACACAAAAATACAAGTTTCATACATTTTTGGCAATATCAGAGATTTGTGGATATTATAATTGGGACATCATCGTCATCTTTCTGGTTCATATGTCCCTTTTTATGATATTCATCTTTTTTTTCAATTTAGAATGGCAAAAGGAAAAGGAAAGGGAAGAGGAAGAGGAAAGGGAGATGATGATTGTTGCTCTGGTTGTTGTTGCTGCATTTGCTGCTGCCTCTTTTTCCCGCCTCTACTTATGTTGATTGGAGTACTCATGATTCTTTCTAAGAATACTCGAGTGGAGAGAATTGAAGAGTATCCTTTGATCATGATGCTTAAGCTTAGGTATAATGCTCGCGCAAAGATATGGAAAGAAACTGGACTGAATTCGTTTAAGAATATTAACTTTTATCTGGCAAATAAGTCCAACAAGTTTGAACCTGTTACAGCAACTTCTGGACAGTATTATCCTACTCGTGATAGCTGTAAGAAAGATGGTGATCCTGCTGAAGGTTGTCTTACTACTGATGCTCTCTATTATCGCTTTTCTGCCAAATTACCATCTACTACCACAACTAGAGTTATTGTATATGGACCTACAAATGAGCTCATTGTTGACGATGAATATAAAAACGGATATGTGAACACTTATACTGCATCTCAATTGGATTGCAAAGATGATCTTTCGAAGTGTTATTCTAAGTGTTCATCGAAAGGAGGAACTTGGGATCAATATAGAAAAGTATGCTCTGTGAGTTACTATCTTATTGGATTTTGTTATCGAGTGAATAAAGTTAATAACAAATGGCAACTTGATATACCTGCGTAGGTGATTGATTGGATTGTTTGATATTTTAGAAATTGGACACTTACGGGTTCTGGAGCTGGTTGTTATTATGCTAATAATCACGATGTTGCTCTCTATTCGAAAACTTATACTTCGAATCTTGCTGTTCATATTCGTTATTATCAAGATTCGTTAATAGCTGCTGATGAATTCACTCAGGGTTGTAGTTTCAGTTCTCCCGATTCTTCTTCATGTTTCGGAATGTCTCGTAAAGAACAAAACACCACTGGCTTTGTATTAAGCACAATTGGTGGTTTATTGATCGCACTTGAAATTGTTATTGTAATTGCTATTTGTTTTTGCTGCAAGGAGAGTCTGGAAAGTCTTCTAAAAAAGAATAAGAAGAGTAAGAAGGATAAAAAGAATAAGAATATAATACTGGTCACTCAGACGGCTCAATCGGTTCCTATTGCTCAGCCAGTGTATCCTCCTCAGCAGCCACAACCAGGTTACGTTTTTCAGCCACAACCAGGTTACGTTCCTCAGCCACAACCTGCATATGCTCCTCAGCAGCAGCCAGGTTATGCTCCTCAGCCACAACCACAACCAGGTTATGCGCCCCAGCAGCAGCCAGGTTACGCTCCTCAGTAGAGGTATCCTCAACAGGACTATGCTTATCATAAGAACCCTTTGTTTGTTTTTACACAGATTCTCTTCCGAGGAAAGAGTATCGTGATGCAAGTTTTACGAGAGGTTCCCCTTTTCGAATGGGATGAAGGTGAAACAACCAACTGTGAGAAGATTAACTTTGAGCCCGGAAAACCAATTTCTTCTTATGGTTGGAATATTCAGTGTAATTTAGTATGTAGATATAACTTCTTGTAAGAATTCTGGATTTCAGCAAATAAACAACGAATTCGCTAAAGAAAATGATTTCCCAGCGTATCGAATATTTGATGTAATTAACAGAAGGATGGTAATTTGGAAAAGTATGAGCCAGCATCTGTTTGTAACAAGTTGGTTCCATCGTTCAACTTTCCATACAAAATATCAAATTAAGTTTCCCAGTAATAGATATTTTCGATAATTGTTATATTATTAGATACGATTGTGACTGGAGGCATTTCCGCGGTGAGAAAGGCAAATGAGTTGAATTTATACGTTTTGACTTGTGACGGAATGATTTGTGCACATCGTTTTATTCATAGACTATCTCTATACTCTTTTCGGAAGGTTTGATTCTAACAATAACCTCTGCATTCAATTCGATATGACTAGCCGTTATTGTCTCGACGACAATTTGTCTTCTCTAGAAAACAATAAAATTACGCAAATCTTATGGACTGATACACATTTGTGTCGCCATCTAGATTCAAGCTGCATGTTACTAAACCAAATCCAACCGAAAATAAGCTCCTCTCAGCTTGTTCCGGACGATCGTAACTACCTCGCTCGAACTCTCCGCCATTTCCTCAAAACCTCGTCGACTCTACTCGATATTGCATATTCCAATAATCGCCTCTATTTTCTCTACAATTCCGCTTCTCTTCACATCTACAATCTCTCTTTATCTGTTTGGGAGCCGGACATATCTCTTCCTCTGTCTTCCCAACCCGTTTTGCCTTATTCCTAGTCTCTTTTCTCGCCCCATATCGAGCGGAAAGCTCTTCATTTGCTCTAACTTTCTCCTCCTATCGCTGAGCAACGGGCTTGAAGATAATTCTCTCTTCCTCTTCTCCCTTTCCCCTCTCCAGCAAATCTCTACGATTTCGCTCCCTCTTCTCTCACCGGTATCCGCTCCTTTTCCTCCTCCTCTATCCACTCTAGTCAATCGCTTTTCCCAATCTTCTGCTCCCTCACGCCTCCTCCTTGCCAGGATCCGTTCGTCTCCTTCATCTCCGAATCAACTGCATCGCAGAGGCCGATCTCCCCGTCATTTCCTGCTGCTGGTGCAAAGGAGAAGACGTCTATCTCAGCCTCATCCGCTTCGACGATCTCGCAGAAGGCTGCTACTCGCATTCTCTCCAGATCTCTCTGTCGGATCAGCTCTACTCGCTCGTCTTCGGGTTGGAATCTTCGCTGCACATCGATTCGAACGAAGGGCTTTCCGAGGCGCAGCGCGTTGCTATCGACCAGCACTTCATTCGAGGCTTCTCCAGCTCGCCGCTACTCCCGCCTTCGGCTCTCTCCGAGTTTCTCCTCGAAAAGAACCAGCCCGATCTGAGCTCGGTGGTCCAAATCGAGTTCGCAAACCGAAAACGCTTCTTCGAAACGGTGGGGAGCGAAATGACCGAAACGGATCTCTACCTCGCCGTCTGGAAAGACACACTGTTCGCTCTGCTTCGTGCGGTTTCGTTCATCTGGAGCATGGATTTCGCCGCATCCACGCTGCTGGTATCTCATTGGCACGGAGTCACGTGTCTGGCTCCTCTTCACACCGTCGAGTCGCTCAATTTTTCTGGTTGTTTTGGGGTTTGAAAGTCACATCCAGTTCCCAACGCGAACGCAGGCGCGCTTCTTTCGCTCGGCAATTCTCTCTCCTGCAAGCTTCCTTTCTTCAGCCCTCTGCAATGGATCGAAGCGACCTCTCCGATCTTCGATTCGATCTCGGAGGATTCGCTGTCGCTGGAGAATTCGGCGCTGTCCGATCTCACCGAAGAAGATGTGTTCGAAGGACTGGACTCGCTGTTGCAAGTTCTGTCGTGCGATCATATCGAAACGCTTCGTTTGCTCGATCAAGAAATGCCGATGCTTCCGATCCCTGCTGAATCGCAGCTGTATAAGCAGATCGTTTATTTCACCACGCTCTGCCGATTTCGATTTGGCGTCCCGCTTCTTTACCTTCTCTCCGCACTCACCCATCAATTCCCAGACAAAACAAACGAGCTTACCCAACGAATGAAGCGCCTCGTAGCCGAAATGGCGCACTGCGCGGGCTTTTTGAGTCTATTCGACCAGCAGCTGCTTCTTTCTCTTCAATCCGAACTCGCAGACACGCCCCAAAACATGTCGATTTCCAAAGTGTTCGGATCGTTCTACGCGATTTTAGACTCCACCTTCCACACGGAGCGGATGCAAGGAGACGCTCAGCAATGGGAAGCCTTCCTCTCCGACCGATTCACGGCCTCCATTTCGGTACGCTTCATCCGTCAGTTTCATCTAGAAATTCGTCGAGTTCCTTCTGAAACGCCAGTTTACAGGGTTTGTCGTTGTGCTGCTCGCGCCCTGGGTCCACACCTTTAAAATCGAAGAGATCCCCGCGGAAATCCGCCATGTATATGTGCAGGCGTGTCTTCAGTGCGGTGGAAAATGGAGAGAGGAAGGAATCCGGATCGAAGACGCTCTTTTAGAGGCGAACGACACGGAGGAATATCGCTTTGTGTTCCATTGCGCGTTTTCTCTGCGGCTGTACGACTTGGTGGAGCATTGGTTCCTCCGCTATCAGCAATCCGGACAGAAAGACACCGTTTTCCTTACAATCGTGGAAACGTGGAAACCGGATGATGTGTAGTGGTATCGATCTTTGATTGAAATGAAACGAATCCATGAAGCCGCTTCTGTGCTGATGGAATTACCGCGGGAATCCGCGATTCTGCAGCTGCCTCTGTTCGTGAGCCTTCTCTGCAAAATAGACCAAATCTCCGCGATTACCGATATCGATTTTGGGGTTTTGTGTTTGTTCTTTTGATGAGACGCAGAGTCTGCAATCGGATATTCAGCGTCAACTTTTGCTGGCCTGCGACTCGCATCATCCAGATTCCAACGTGTTTCTCAGCACCCATTCTCTCTTTGCCCATCAGAAAGAGTTCCAACTCTCCCTGCTTCCGCTCCACTTGCTGCTCCAGAAGCTCCAGGGACTCGCACGCTCTTCCCTGAAACAGTATTTCGATATTATGCTTCGGGAGTTTCACATCCTCGGACTGATGTACAGCGTGCTCTCCGAACTCCCAAAATCGGACCGAATTTTGGACTCGGAGGATGTGTTGCTGGACGAAGCCGGGATTCTGCGGTGGATGACCGAGCTGGAAGTGTCGATGAGTTCCCTGCGGGACCTCACGGAGCAGACCCCCGCCACCATCGTGCAAACCCTGATTTCCCGCGGCCAATTCGTGCTGTGTCGCCGATTGGTCGAAGTGTTGCGCTTCGACGGCGAAATGGTCGCTTCCACTCTCGCCAAGTGGGTCGCAGACCAGCTCCGCGCTTCCCGACCGGAGAAACTGGAGAAACTGGAGGTCCCGATTCGTCGAAACGGGGAAACCTACGCGAAGGGATGCGCGGATTTGCTTCGCATTGATCCCACGGGGAAGCTGGCAGTTTCCTTCACGCGCGCGTTGCTGGTGGAGAATCCCGCGGCAACCCTGCCGCCATTCGTGGACAGAGTGCTGGAAGAGCTGATGGAGAGCGGGAGCTGCGCGTATTCCGCGGTGGTGGGGGAGTTGCTGGGCCTGGGAAGGCTGGAAGAAGCGTGCCGATTGCTGTGTGCAGCGATGGAGAGACGGTCGGTGTGGGTGTCGCCCTCGCTGGTGGAGCGGGTGAAGTGCTGCTTTGCGAAGGTGGAGGCGTCGGAGAAGCTGTCGGAGTCGATGAAGCGGAGGGTGAAGTGTAGGGATGATGGGATGGAGTGAAGTGTAGTGTGGGAGGAAAGGATGAAGATGGCGGAGATGCGCAGTGAGAGATGTGAGTAGAGGGAGGAGGGTTGCTGGCTGGTAGTAGTTTATTGAGAGGTTGTTTGTTTTTAAAACGAAAGTTTGGCGTTGTCATGAATCCAAACGGAAGATATATTTATCGCCATATAGACCCCCAAAATAAAAAAATCCCATCGAGAGGAGATACGGTGGTGTTTCAACGGAATGTGGATGTCAGTCCAGCTATTCATGTTTAGAACGTTGAATACCGCGGAACGATCGTGTTCGTTCAAGAAAATCACTCGGTCGTGGACGTGGAAAATTTAGGACGGATGCAAGTTCAAAACAACCAGATTAAGTCTGAGAAAAAGTATATATGTATTTATTGGATTCCAGTTTTCACTTTGTAGCAGCTACCAATACGGAGATTCCTGTGGAGATCGATGACTTGGTATCTGTTGTTGTAGATGTATGTCGTTCATTCTAACTAAGACAAAGAATAAACGAACTCTAGGAACAATCAAGTCTTTATTAGAGGGAAATAAAGTCAGGGTTCGTTTGAATGGGCGAATCGAGTCTTTTGCTGACATAGATGTTTCGTTTTTGAGCTTCATCGCGAAGGGATATAAATGTGTGCCTTGATTCCTGTTTTGAAATAGTGAATGAGCCAGCGCAAGCGTATCACGTCCAAAACCAGCCTGTAAAGACCGGTGATTACGTAGAAGCCATTATTGTCAATGCTCCGTGTGTTGTTAAAGTCGTTCCTTATAATGGAGGTAAGTGTATTCTTCTCTGTTCATTATAGATCCTCATCAGTATGATGATTTAATGGAAGTATACTTTCCCGAGGACCCAACACATCCGCAGTTGCTTCCGCTTATCCGTATGACATGCGGAACTATTCTAATTGTTAAAGCCAATTGATTCAGTTGTTTCTTTGAGTACATTCAAGGTATGGTAACATCAATGCTTGTTGTAAGTTGATTACCTTCATTTATGTTTTTGAGTTACTATGTATGAACACTATGAATCTTCTAAGTAGCTTTCATTCTTACAAATAATGTCTTAATATCAACACTTCTGCGTTCATTCTATAACAAAAAGCTCCAAACTTTAACCAAAAATAAAACAAGCAAAGTCAAAAAGCTGCGATTCCAATCACTCCTCCAGCAATAGCCTTCCCTACATTCCCGTTAATGCTACTATCTCGATTCGAACCCTAGGTGTTACTCGAATTGATCATATACAAGTCCAAGATCGTCCTCGTTTTCGTATACAATAATCGACCTTCCAATAACGGAAAAAGGTCCCATCACCTGGACTAAGGAATCTTCTATGTGAAATGTTGCAATATATCCGTCTGAACTAATATTTCCTAAACTTCCAACGTGTCTTTCATCACTGTTAGGACTTCCATGGCGTTTTCCAAAAGGGTTGAAATGAGGGCCTAGATACTTATCAGTTTCAGTTTTTCACTACCACAACGACGAAATCCATCTGTTAAATCACCAAAGGTATTAATGCTAATTCCATGCTTTCCCTACAATTCGAAAACAGAGAGAAAACAAACTTTGGGCAATCCCTTGATTGTTCCATCAATTATTGTGTTTGAAAAAGGAGTTTCCTAAATTCTCACTTCATTTCCGGCGATATTACTTGCGTCAAAGTTACTGTTCCAGATATATCATTTCCCACAATGTAGCAAATGACTTTAGCCATCAGCGATTACAATATAGATTGCGCGATAATACTCCGTTTCTAAAAAAAGCGACGCGTTCTGTACATGATATGACTAATAAAAAACACTACAACAATATCCTCTCCCTTTGTGTGATATAGTACTTATCACACTATTGGTATAAATCTATTATAATTTCCGAATGTCATATTTGAGCTATTATCGTCCGCTGCTAAAAGAGCTAGGGCACAAACATCAGTACATGGCACGTGTACTGTCAACATGGTTCCCTGCAGAGTTCTACCGTGGTTCACTTCATGATATGTGGGGTAGGGAGTCTTACCGTGGTTTTGGAGATACTGATGTACATGAGGTCAGATCGCACATTACGGTGACCTCTGATATGCCTGGTGCTTGCAAAGACACGATGAGAGTTTATTTTCACGACGATATCCTCACGCTCTATGCTGAACGGAAAGACGACAAGTTTGTGGAAGAAGATATCTATGGAAATATGCAGCGAGGCTTTGGGTGGGTCACAAAGTCGATACGACTGCCTCATAACACGGACTATAACCGGATAAGCGCAACCTATAAAGATGGAGTTCTGTCTGTTGTGATTCCCAAGCCAGAAGCAGGCGCAGTCACAGGCAGGGAAATTGAAATTCCGATAAAGTAATGCAAGTGAAATTGTTTTTTAAAGACACACTTTATCGTTGGTCTCAAAAATTGATTTCTGCAATGTCGACAAAAGCTCGAAAGCGAATTTTGAGAGACTACAAAGATTACCTTCGAAACAAGCCGATGGGAATCACTTGCCGAATTCATGAGGATAACATGATGATATGGGATGCCTGCATTCTTGGGTAGACGATTCTGCAACCCGGAAACTATTTTATAGACCTCCTGATACTCCTTGGGAAGGGGGAACGTTTTTCCTACGTATTGAGTTGTCCGAGGAATATCCGGATGTGGCGCCATCGATTCGCTTTCTCAATCGTCTCTTTCACCCAAATAGTATGGTTGAGTTCCAGAATTGGTATTTCTAGTTTATGTGGATGGAAAAATCTGTCTGGACATTCTGCAGAATCGATGGACGCCCCAGTACACCATTCTTACCGTTCTGCTTTCAATTCAGGTTTGGACAACGTATTCGGTTTATCCTAGAGTCTTTTAAATGATCCAAACCCCGCGAGTCCCGCCAATCAACATGCCTCCTCTATCTACTGCCATAGCAAAGAGACGTTTTGGATTTTCGTGTATCTAATCGGTAGCTACAACGAAATGGTGCGGGAATGTGTGGTGAGGAGTTGGCTGAGTCCTGCCGCTGTAAAGGAGTGTTTTTCAGAGGAAGGACGCTTCGTATCTTTTGTACCATGTTTCGAAGATTGTTTGTCCCAGAACACAATTCACCCAAACCTATTGGAGGTCTTGATAACGTGAATACTGCGTATTCATAATCGAGCAAATGATTGCAAATGAAAATGGTAGTTCATAATTTCTGTAATGTTTAGTTGTCTTGGCAGATCTCTATCCCGAGCTATTCCTAGATGTCATGCAGCCGCGGGGTAGGAATAGAAGCGCGGCTTTACAGTTAGATGCTCCATTCGTCTTTTCGGAACACAGTACTCGGTGGTAGTTTGTCCGAAATAGGATTTACTGTGCAGGAGAACCCTCCCCTTCCGTTTCCTGAAGGAATGGCGGAAAGCGTGAAGACTTGGGCTATTGGCTCATTAAACCAACAGCGCAACCTCCTCAGCCGTGCCGTGACCCTTTGTAGGCGATCTCAAGGAAAGTGAAGGTGTAGTGGAGTCGTCCTTACCAAGCCATGTTGAACAAGCAGAACTTCTCCTCGACTACGTGCTTTCCGTTCGTAGAATGGAGAACGAGAAGTACCACCCGAAACAGTTTGTTCCTGGTTCGTTCCGTCTTGGAATCGCTGGTCCCCCAGGAGCCGGTAAGAGTACCTTCTGCGAGGCGCTGGGTACCCTGCTGACCTCGCAGGGCCACCGTGTGGCCGTGCTTGCGATCGACCCCTCGTCCACTCGATCGGGAGGCTCTCTGCTGGGTGATAAAACCCGCATGCTGAAGCTGGCCTACGATCCGAACGCGTTCGTGCGCCCCTCGCCCTCCAACTGCTCTCTGGGCGGCGTGGCGGAGCACACCAGCGATCTGGTGATGCTCTGCGAGGCCGCGGGCTACGATATCGTGATCGTGGAGACGGTGGGTCTGGGCCAATCGGAGGTGATGATCGACGACATGGTGGATATGGTGATGCTGCTGATGCCCCCCGCGATGGGCGACGAGCTGCAAGGCGAGAAGAAGGGAATCATGGAGCACGCGGATATCGTCGTGATCAACAAGGCCGATGGGCCGCTGGCCGCGTACTGGCTGTGAGGGAGCGTGAATTCTAGCGTGGCCGCGCGGTCGGAGGCGGAGAATCGACGCGCTGTGCAGCTGCAGCGACCCAAAGCGCCCTTCTGGAAGTGCGAGGTCACGCGCTGCTCCGCGCTGCAGAAGACGCGAATTCAGGATGTCTGGGACATCTGCGCGCGGTTTAACAAGGAGGCGCTCGCGTGCGGAAGCGTGGGAGAGCGGAGGGCGGATGATGTCTAGCTCGAGCAGAAGAGAGTGAACCAGAACTCCAGTGCCATGTGGTCGCAGCTGATTACGCAGATTGCGGCGAGCTGCAAGCGTAATCCTGCGGTGTTGGAGAAGGCAAAGGAGCTGGACGCTGTAATGAAGAGTGGTGGTATGACGCATCGTCGTGCGGGCCGCGAGCTGAAGGATATCTTTGTCAAAGACGAGTATAAAAATCTGAAGTAATTTCGATTGTTTGTTGGTAATCAAGAACCACTGAACGCTTCATACAAAAATCATTTTCATTTCGAAATGAAGTTTGCTTCTATATTGCTGCCGCTGCTGCTTCTTGCCCTTGCGTTCACACAGACCGTAGACAGTGATGGGATTATGATTTTGGACAGCAGTTCATTTCATAAGGTTGTCAAAAACGCCCACAACTTGCTTCTTTTCTTCCACTCTGCGGTACACTTCCTGTTCTGAGGATCATGCGTAGTGGGATGGAAAATCGAAGTCGTTTGAATATTATTTCCGTCAGCTAGCTCGCAGAATCAAAGAGGAAGATATGGATATCAAGTTGGCTAAGGTATGGTGTGAGGTGCCGTGTTCAGTAGATTAACCTTCCTGCCAACCGTGATATTGCTGAGATCTACCATTTGAGGAAGTACCCTACTCTCTATTTCTATGGAGATGGTGATGGTGAGTACTACGCAGGAGAGATGAGGGTTGAGTAAGTATTTGGAACAGAAATCGATGTTTAGGAAGATTTTGTTCTATCTGAAGAAGAAGACAGAAGACAAATTTACGCTCGTTTTCGATGATATGGAAGTGGCTTCCCACCGACGGAAGGGGATCTCTGTGGTTGTCGCCCACTTCTCCACAGATAGCAGTCTGAAATACAAGCATTTCATGAGCGCTATCCGCGAGGACGAGTTCAATGACATCTTAGTCTCCGTTGGGGAATCGAAAGTGTCCCAGCCCATGGATTCCTTCTCCGTAATCAACACTGACGACGTTGTGTATCCATTCACTGGCAAATGGGGTGTGGACGACATCCGCAGCTTCATCGCGCTGTGGTCGCTTCCCGCCATTGTACCCTACGTCTCCGCCTGGACCCGCCGCATCTTCGACAAAACGCACCACATCCGCGAGCACCTCGTGTACATGTCAGAGAACAGCGAGCTGCTCAACAATCTTCCTCTTCGCGAAGTGTTCGAGCAGGTTTCCGTCAAGGGACGCAACCAGTTTTTAATGCTGGATCTGGATCCGGACGAGCGATCGATGATTAAATACTTCGGATTTGAGCGCGAGCAGCTCCCGATTTTGTTCTACGTGGACCTGCGATCGGACAAAGGATCGATCAAGTACGTGTATCACGACGAGGACTACACGGTCGAGAAGGTGATGGAGTTCGCAGAGAAGGCGCACTTGGGCGAGTTGTATCCGTTCTATAAGAGCGAACCCATCTACACGGAGCCGGACGGGTTCGTACGACGCATCGTGAGCCGCGATTTCGTGGATGTGGCGTTCGATCCGTACCGAAATGTGCTCGTGGAGTTTGTGGTGCCGGTAGGAAAGCGAGGAAAGGTCGAGTGTAGGAGTGCCGAATGTGCCATAAGATCGAGGACGATTATCAGCACTTGGCGCACGATTATTTGAACGTGGACGATGTGGTGATTGCGCGTGTGGACTCGTCGAAGAACGAGATCAAGGGCATTCTGCCGCCCGATTTCCCGATGATCGTGCTGTACAAGGCGGGAGGCGATGGGGAGAGCCAGACCGTGCTGAAGGCCGATCAGATTACGTACAGCGTGCTGAAGAAGTTTGTGGAGAATAACCGAGTGGTCGTGAACCTGCCCAAGAAGCTGGAAGCCGCCGAACCCGCTAAGGAAGAAGAAAAGGAAGAGGAGATCAAGGAAGAGGAGATCAAGGAGGAGGAGATCAAGGAGGAGGAGATCAAGGAGGAAGTAGAAGAGCCTAAGAAGGAAGAGGAGCCTAAGGAGGAAGTGCAGGACGAGGGAATGTGCACGAGTCCGGACGATCCGTGCAGTGATATATCTGGGGAAAAGGAAGAAAAGGAGAAAGAGGAAGTGGAGATGAAGAAGGAGGAAGAAGAAAAAGAAGAAGAAATCAAGGAGGAAGAAGAAGAGCCTAAGAAGGAAGAGGAGCCTAAGAAGGAGGTACAGGACGAGGGAATGTGCACGAGTCCGGACGATCCGTGCAGTGATGTATCTGGGGAAAAGGAAGAAGAGGAATTATAAACAAACATTCTATTGGTTTCATTGTTTGTTGTGGAAATCGAACATGGAAAAGGAAGATATTAATATGGATGAGGATGCTAGCAGTAATAAGGGTAAGCGTCAAGAAATCGAAACCTTGGCTTATTTCTAGAAGAATCCGACTATTCCTATTCCAGCGATGATGAAGACAACCAAAAGAAGATAGATGAACTGAAAGCGCGCATTCAGGAAAATGAAAAGGATTGGGACGCATACATCGAATTGATTCAGGCATATAGAATCAATGGAGATATTGACAACCTCCGCTCTATGCGTCTGCAGTGTAAGCAAGTGTTTCCCCTTCCTCCGGGTATTCTATGACTTGTACATTTAAATACAGATATGTGGATTCAATGGATCGATGACGAGAAACAGTTTGTATCGGATGAGGAGGAAAAGGAAGGAATTTGTAACCTTTACCAAGCCGCACTCAGAGACTATTATTCTGCAGACATTTGGTACCAGTATCTCTCTTACGTCAAGTCATCTCTTCCTTCGGAGATGCCTACACTCCTTGAAGAAGCAATTAGCGCATTTGAATTCGATTGCATCGATGGACCGCGTCTTTGGAGCCTCCTTCTTGAATGGTCCAAGAACGTGAATCCTCCAGAGCAAACAGAGAAATTATATGCAAGAATGCTGAGAAATTGCTATCAAACGAGCGCAGAATGCTTAGAATCATACAAAGAGTGGCATCAAGGAATCGGTCTTGAGATCGATCCCTCCGTCATAGAACTCGGAGAGAATTCGATAAAAGAATTCGAAAGAAGAAGTATCCTGCAGATGGAACTCACAGCTTCCATCGAAGTGGATCACATTACCACCGCGCTTCGCCGCTTCCACGACTACGCCAAATTCGAACTTCAAAACGATAAAAAAGCGGGTCTGTCTCGCACAGGCTTCCTCTACCAACGTTATGCCTATACATTCCGAGATCAGGCCGATTTCTGGCATTCCTATTTTCTGTACGTCTACGATTTCGTCAAGGTGGGAAAGAAGTGCAACCAGGTGATTTCGCGCGCTCTGCGACACATTTCGAACTCGGGTCCTCTGTACGAAGACCGTGTGCTTTGTCTCGAACTAACAAACAAACCTGTTATGCTCTTAACCGAATTAACGCAGACGGTGAACCAGCAAGTGCTGGGCAGTTACTACGAATACCTCCGATTCTACCTCGCTTGCCTCGCTTCCTATCGTCGTCGCGTCGTTTTACGCGAAGAAGGCGCGGAATCGGCGCTTCGCGAGTATTGCGGGCGCTGCGTTGATTGGCTGGTTGGCGTTTCCACTTGTTTCCACCTAGCGAGAACTGAACAAAGAGTGGTACGACGGGATTTTCGAGCTGCAGAAAGCGGTGAGCCAGGTTTATCTAACGGTTTTGCACGAAGAAGAACTCGCGTATCGAATCTGGGAGGGGATTCTCAAGTTCCATTCCCGCGAATTTGGGTACTGGAGTGTACGCGTTGGAATACTGTTCCATGTAGGAATACATTCAGTTCGACCGCGCGTATAACCAAAGCAAGCAGGCGCGAGCGCTCTACAAGCGCGCAGCCGCAGCGGTGAGCGACAATCTGGAGTTTGTGCTGTGCGCGTGGGAGGAATTCGAGCGGAACTTTGGCACCCTGGAGACGTGGAGCGAGTTCTCGCGGAAGAGCCGGCGATTCCGGGAGCTGGCGATGGAAAAAGAAGAGAAGGAACGCCGAGCGATGGAGACGGTGAACGTCGAATCCAAAGAAGACAAAGAAAAAGAGGAGGAGGGCGAAGATGAAGACGAAGACGAAGAAAAAAGCGCGGCAAAACGAAAATCGCCGATGGAGCGCGAAGAAATCCCGGCGAAACGAGAGAACGTGGAAACCGCAACGCAGAAGAAGAAGATGCTGCGGGAGAAAAAGCAGGACGCGGACGTGCAGCATCGCACAGTGTTCGTGAACAATCTGAGCTTCGCGGCGTCGGAGGAAGACGTGCAGGAACGCTTCCAGCAGTACGGGGAAATCGTGGAAGTGACGATCGTGCGAAATAACCACGGGAAGAGCAGAGGATTCGGGTATGTTGAGTTCTCGACGGAAGAAGCGGCGGAATCGGCGTTGGTGGAGAATGGGAAGATGCTGAAGAGTCGAAAAATGGAAGTGAAAAAATCGGTTCCGCAGAACGAACGAAAGACGGAGAAGCAGGAAAACCAAAACACGCCTCCCGTTGTGAACACCATTTTTGTGAGTGGACTGCCTAGTGGAGTGTCTGAGTACGAGTTTAGCGTGTTCTTTTCGAAGGTGGGAAGCGAAGGAGTGGACTTATGCCTTAGTGTGGAAAGGTCATAGCCTCGAGAATCATACGAGACAAGATCACCCGCGTAGGAAAAGGAACAGGACTGCTCCAATTCGAAGGAGAAGAGGGATTCCAAGCGGCGCTGAAGATGGATAAGGAAGTGTGGCAGGGAAAGAAGCTGCACATTGTAAAGTCGAAATTTGCTGTAAATCCGTGAGTATTCTCTCTTTGTTGGGATACGTTTATATTAAAAACAAGAAAAAAGTGAGGTTGCTCAAACAGGTTTCAGGATTCACATCAGCACACCCTATTTATCGGAGACGACGAGCCTCACGCTCCCATTCCAGAAGAGTCAGAATATCACCCTCGCGCACAGGTCCCTAGGCATAAGCACGGCACCAGATGATCTACCTTCACGTTTCTCACAATGCTACGCTTGGAGGAATCCATGAAAGTGACGCGGACCTAATAGTGACAAAGAGGCAGCCGAGGCCAACCTGGGTGACGTTACCAGTGTTACCGGTTCTTCCCAGCACCTTATCCACAACGGCAAGCATGACTTGGTTTTCCTAGAAGAGATTAGACTCCTTCCACTTAAACGCATGGAAAACAGAGGAGGATTATGCGGATTAACTGTTCTAGCAAAACTTACCATTTTAGAGTCTTATGAAACCTGAACTGTGAGAAAGGAATTGTGGATTCTAAAATGGGACATACTGTTCTGGTCATTTAGGTCCCAAATATGGTTTATTTCAAAAAACAAGGCTATCTTTATTGTACATCCAACGAAAATGATGGAAAGTGTCGAATAACCGAGTCTCCTTCGACCGCGATGACTTCTTCTTGTTTTTCTCCGGGTAATGCTTTCTACACGTTAGAGCGACATATCGGGATCACATGCATATTTGATTTTTGGCTTGTTTGTCAGGATGAGTCCGTACAGGTTCATCGCGATGCCGATGAAATACACACAGATTTGGTTCCAGGATGCTGTCTCCATCTCATTGAAGCACAGAATCCCTGAGAGACTACCGACAATTATGAAACACCCCTGGTATCTAGGATTCGTTCACACCCTCTTGATTACATTGGGATTACAAACATCGCTTCATATTCTCGGAGCGCGCTGTTGAGCGCCAGAATGCCTCCTCCCGCGGTGATGCCAACCATAATGAGTGAGTAGTAAACCCAGAGTGATTTCCACACAGGAACTCCGTTGAAGAAGCTGCTAGGAAGCAGTTTACAGTAGTACGTACTCGGCTAGAATCACGGAAAGACACTTGATATAGGTCTGATTCCCACTTAAGGCTCCAGAGAGGAGACTGAAAGCAAGTCTATCAGGAATGGATAAGCTGAAAAGTACCCTCTCACCTTATTCAATCTATCCATATATGGCCAGTAGATGGAAAAGACAAGAAACAGAATTGAAATGAAATAGGCGATATTAAATAAAAGGCTCTTGATGGATAGTGAGGATTCGATGAGAGCTGCAACAGTGAGTGTTACGGGAGAATGAGAAGCGGATAGCCCAATCAAGATGCACCCATTGTCAATGAAGGATCTATCAATGAGATTACGGATGGATATGCTGTGATGAAAAGGGTTGACTTGTACTGCTCCTTGTCGGGAGCTTCTGGGAGAAGCAAGGAAGTGAAGAACAGGGACCAAACGACGCTCAATCCTGCAAACGGAGTGAGCAGCGACTGTGCGGCAAAACTGTAGGAAAGGATCGAAAGCGCGGGATTGATAACAACTACCAGGGACTGCGCTAGAAGGGAAAGGAGAGAGAGGGGAGTTCTTAAAGTCATGGTGTCAACACTTGACAACTGTAAAAGAAGCGAAGCAACCCATGGGAAGTTGCTCCACTTTGTTTTCAAATAGTCTGGGAATGATTCCGAAGTTCGTATCAAGTGAACACACCGCACGAGCACTTTTCCCAGACTTCCAAGCGCTGTAGACAGAAGTGCAAGTGAAGCACCGATAATCCAGTTTGGAATGAAAGTCATTCGATGAAAAACTGAGAAAAGTAAATGAATATCCCAGGATATAGTGTGTGTAAAAGAAACAAGAGAAGCCATCTTATACAATTCAATTTCGTTTCTCACAAAAAAATTAGGAATTTGCTTTCTTAAACGAAATGACTCTGTTTGTGGAAGCCCGTGGAACTTTGTAATAGATGCTGTAGGTCACAATCTTTTCTCCCGGAATACAATAACACAATCGTGATGACGTGGACTGGCTTGAAGAACAATAGGAAAATGCATCGTATGAAATCAAGCACAGTTTGTCGTAGTCCTTCCCATCCTCAATAAACGCAGGGACATACTTATCCACTTCATTCCAGCACCCATAGGGACATCCAAAGTAGTGTTGCATCGTGTGGCAGTTATTCAAAAACTCTTGCTGAACAAAGTCGCAGGACAGGTGCTCCTTTTGACACACCTGGTCGCAACTCTCGCCAGGCTTGGAAATCATTATCTTACCCCAAGGATTCGGTAGAATGGCGTGCTACACGTTACAAACAGCAAAGCGAACGAACTTCTCGAGGAACCAGCATCCACTGACGCCGATCGATAATGAAAATGAGCTTCTTTGGCTGGTATAGAGGGATGATTCCATGATGGAATCCGCGATATGCTGCAAACATTCTTAAACGGTAAAAAACATATCGTAATTCCTATGCATCACGCACGAAAAGAGATTCGACTTCACGAACAACAAGCAACACATTGACGGTATTTGCAGGTTTCAGAATGGACGAAATAGCGGATTGCTTGTACACTTGAACATTCACAGTGCTCAGATAGCTTGGATTGAAATTGGGGAGTGTCCGATTCTCTTTTAGCAGGATTTCTTCGCTCCATGAGAAAAGCTGAATCGCTTCTTCGATCTTTTGGGGATCAAAGAATTGAGAAAGAAGGAAGCGGTCATAATTTTCACCCAGGATGTAATTCAAATTGCCCAGATCTATGCTCCTCTCCTGGAAAAGCGGATACATTTTCAACTTCCTGCAAATTATGCCTTGAGCGGTCGTGCTGTTCGCAGAACAACCATGTCGCACGCGGGGAATCACAGGGAACACTCCCTCCATATGAAGGGAAGCCGAGCGAACGCGGAGCCAATGGTCCCATCCGTTGGTGCTTTTCGTTAGAGCCTGATCTTTCCAAATTTTGTTATACGATCGAAGACTGAACATTAACGCAAGATTGGGGAAATAAGATGATCGGCGAAGCAGTTTGGGGTCGCCGTAATCGGCCAACGCGTTATCATTGAAGGCACTAATGCAAGCGATTGTTTCGTCTTGGTCGAGCAAGGGCGAAGTGGCTTCAAAGAAATTGAGAAGCGAGGGAGAGAGCTCCAGATCATCTTCGAGGATAATCACACGGTTAAAGCGGTATGATTCGAATAGGACTTGTAAGAAAAAACGGTAATGTAGCTGAATGCGCTTAAATGGCTTGGGAATCGAGCCCAGTTGCTTTGCATCGTCATACTCCAGAATCGTGTATCTTGACAGCTCTTTGATATTCTGAAGATGACGCTTGTTGAGAAACTCCAGGCAGCCCAGAGACAAAAATAGGGAGTACTTTCCTATTTCGGGCTGCTTTTCCAGAGCACGCGTAATGTGAGCAATAGAATCCAGTCTTTTACAGCCAACAACCACAATAGCCGAGGTCTGGTTGTTCATTTGATGCACTGATGTTGAGGTTTGTGTGGATTCTATTTGTGTCTCGCTCTTTGTCTTTTCAAGCACAAGATCACCATTGCTCGGTGCTTCTGTGGTTGTATCCTTGCTTAGATTATCCAGAAGTTGCGTGGCCTCGGTCATGGGTGCATCTCCATGTTCCTTCGGCTTTTCCAAAGCATCACTCTTACCATGCTCATTACTAACAGTATCATAATTTCTATCTTCTATTAAGCTAGCTCTATTGGTCTCATTCAATGTGACTGATTTTCTGGTGATGGGTTTAGACGACTGTGTACCATCTGAAGTATTGTTAAAAACTGCTGAGTGTCCCATAACAGAAGATAACTGTGTATAGGAATCAGAGATGAGATAGGCATGGTCTCCTTTAGGAACACCGTAGTCATCGATTAGAGAAGTAGTAATTCTGAAAAACAAGAGCCTCACCAAACCCTACTTCCATTGATAATAAAACGATAGCAAACACAATAAGGCAACTATTGGAAATATGAACTGCATAATATACAATTTCCCATATGACATCAACAAAAAAGTGTCACACTTATCTTGGTTTTCTCTATCGTGTGTGTAGTCACTCATGGTGCGAACGAAGAGTAATTTGGGAGCAAAGGCGACGAGAATGCTTGACTATATAAACCACATTATTCGAGTTGAGTTATTGGATGGGTAACCCCTCTTTTGCTTGTTAATTTGCTATAGCCGAAGCTTTATAGGTCAATTTTTGGCTTATGATGCTTCAATGAACGTAGTTCTTTCCCGTGCTCGCGAAGTCGTTACAAAGGGAATCAAGAAGGATCTTCCTCCACTTCCAAGTTTGATTTTGATAGTAGTCGGCTAAGCGGGTAGATTTACCAGGAGAAGATGCTACCATTGAACGAAACCGTGGATTAGTGGTAATTCGTGGTTGTATGATCGTTTCTATCCACATCTGTGGTCCTCCACCGAAAGATGTACTTTTCGGGGAAGCAAATAATGCCTAGGACAACACAATCCCGAAGCAGTTCATGCTCGCCAATACCCAGAAGTACATTATGGACTATCGTTTCTTTCTTTTGCCTTTTTAAGTCATAGAGGTTGGAAATATCACAGGCGCCAATCAAGGAATGATGCCTCCCGGAATGATGCCACCCGGAATGATGCCGCCTGGCATGATGCTACCTGGCATGATGCCTCCTCGTCCGTTTGGAGTTCCTGGTGCTCCTGGTGCTCCTGGTGCTCCTGGAGTTCCCGGCGCTCCGGGCGCTCCGGGTGTTCCTGGAACAGCGGACGCGTCTCGCCCTGTACCTCCCAATGGAATGATGCCTCCGGGCATGATGATGCCTCCAAGACCGGGCATGATGATGCCTCCGAGGCCTGGAATGATGTTCCAGGGCATGCCTCCCATGCCGCAAGGAATGCCTCCCGCCGGACAGGGGGCTCCGTCAATGCCTCCAGGAAGCACATAGAGCGTCGAGATTCAGAGAAATTGTAATTGTGCTATGATTTGGAGTGTTTGTTGAAATCGAAAAGTGAGGATTTTTGGAGATGGTACTTTTTCTGTTTGTTGAGGCGCTCCTTCGGTTCGTAGGACGCCTTTTGGACTGCGATTGCGTTAGGAAGGGTACTACTGTAGGGACACCACCCTGGTTGACGATGTAGGTTTTCCAGTTAGTTTAGCTAGTATTACATTTGCCGAGTATGGGGCGGGTGGAGTGAGTGATTTCGTAGAGAGAGATCCAACTAGTCTGTATTTTACCATTTTTGGATTGAATGGGTTTGCAAGAGGAAAATAACAACCGTAAGGAAAATTCTGTGTAGGAGATTCGTTTGGAGTGTGAGGTTCCAGAGATGTTCATTCGCCCGTTGTTTCTTTTATTTGGTCAGAGAAAACGCTATCCCTGCGTATTTTCCTAGCAGGGGGAATAGCGGGTGCTGTGAGTCGTACTGTGACGGCTCCGCTTGACCGCATAAAAGTTCTGATGCAGGCCTCTCACGGAGAGCACGCGTTGCGCTTCCTCGGAAGTGCGCGCAAGATCTACTCCGAGAGTGGGATCCTGGGTTATTGGAAAGGAAACGGGGTGAATTGCGTGAAGCTCTTTCCGGAAACAGCGATTCGATTCTACGTATACGAGCTCCTTCGAGCCCGTCTCAACATCGACACAGAGCACGCCGACATCCTCACTCGCTTTGTGACTGGCTCTGTCGCCGGACTGGTGAGTCAGACCATCGTCTACCCGTTGGAAGTCATCAAAACCCGCATCGCCCTCTCCCAGCCAGGGCTCTATCGCGGTGTCTGGGACGTGGTCAACCAGACCGTCCGTCGCGAGGGCGCTCTGTAGGTTCATTCATCCGCTCCGTTCATTGCAGAGCTCTCTACAAAGGCATGCTCGCGTCCATTCTCGGCATCATTCCCTACTCGGGCGTCGAGCTCATGGTCTACTCCTATCTCACCGTGCACACACAGCCCTTCCTTCACCCGTAGGATCACTTCACGCGCTCCAATCAGCACAAAGGCGTGTGCTCCGTGCTGGTTTGCGGCGCGCTCTCCAGCATATGCGGACAGACCATCGCCTACCCCTTCCAACTGGTCAGGACCAAGCTGCAGGCGCAGGGAATGCCGGTACCGCAGGAGCTGGAGGGGAAGGTGCATTACAAGGAGTATAAGGGAGTGGGCGACTGCATTAAGCAGATTGTGCAGAGAAGAGGCCTTCGCGGACTGTATCGCGGGATTTCGGCGAATTATATGAAGGCAGTTCCTGCTATTAGTATGAAATATATGAGTGGGAGAGGACGAAGGAGATGAGATGTAGTGTATGAACTTTTGAAAGAATGGTTCCGTGTGGGTGACAAGATGACTTCTACGTAATAATATAATAGTTTGATGTTTGTTGGATTCCGTCGCTTTTCCTGGAAATGGACACTTTTTTGGTTACAAATCGATTAGTATGAGTAATCGTGGTCGGCAAGGAGGGAATCGTTCTGGAGATCGTCGTGGAATCACCGTATTCAGCGGCTTGCCGGATTGTGCCATTTCGGAGGATGTATCATCTCTAGATTTGAAAATGCTGTTTATTCCTGATATCCAGTTTGAGCAGATTCCGACTCCTGATAAAAAGGAGCCTCGACCCATGACGGGTCTTGCGAAGGAGCTTAGTGAAGTAGGCGCTTTCCGATTGATCGCGTGATCGTTAGTTCGATAACGAACCCGAGCCAGTCGCGCCTCCTGTAGAAATCAAGAAGGAAGACACTGTTAGCAAAAGAGAAGCGTTTCGAAAAGCTCGTCTCGAACAGCACAAAGCAGAGCTTGCAGAAAAGATCAAAGAATGTTCCCTCCCCCTTTCAAGCCTCTCACGTCTAGATGCTCCCGATAAGAACCCTAACGCTACAAAGCACCCGATGAACACACTCTTTATAGGAAACTTATCTTACCTAACGCAGGAGAATCGTCTTCGCGAGCTCTGTGAGAAATACGGACCGATCGAGAGTCTGGTGATCGTAAAGGACCACGATGGCAAATCTCGCGGATACGCCTTCGTGGAATACACCTACTCCAACGACATGACGACAGCCTACAAGGTAGTGGTTCGTTTCGCTGCTCAGCGATAGAGGCTGCGTCGCCACCCACTGGACGAGAGAAAGCTGATCGTGGATGTGGAGCGCGGACGCACGGTGCGGAAATGGCTGCCTGCTCGATTGGGAGGTGGATTGGGAAAAACGCGCGCGACGCGTCCAAAGAAGGCGAAGCGAGACAGAAGGTGAGAGGAATGGAGGAGATGAGACGATAGAGACGATGATAGGAGAGATTATTATTATCATTCGAGTGACTATCGAAGCAGACGAGACGATCGACGAAGCGATTATCGTGATAGAAGAGATGATCATAGAAGAAGCAGACGTGATTGGCATGTTTGTTGAGTAAACAGAAGGCAATGGAGATTGAATCGTATGCAGTGTTATGGCGAGCTAAAATGTGCATTTCCATGTTTATAGAAATTAGGATGGGAATGAGAAATGAAAAGAGTTTTATGATAACACCAAGCTCTATGAAAAAAAATAAACAAAAAAGCTCCCATGCCGGGACTCGAACCCGGGTCGGCGAGGTGAAAACCCGCTATCCTAACCTGCTAGACTACATGGGACCTGTTTTCTGTTTCGAAATACACTACTTAACATAGCGTCGTGAAAGAAAAAGCACGTTCAAAATAAATGAGTGTAAATAATCAGTATTGCAGTGATTATAGGAAAAAGGTACAATTTGATGTCTGGATGTTTTGAACTAGATCGTGGAGAGTGCTCGGAGCTATATCAATAAAAAGAGCATTGTGGAGTATCTTGACAATTTCTATATCAAGGTATGATTTTTAAAAGGGGTTCAACTGAATAGCCTGAATCCGAGCAAGGACAACTCGTTCTAAGTGTTCTAAAGGCAAATAATTTATTGTTTGATGATCGCTATGTGGTTTTTATCCTGTTGGCTAAGTCGTAGTTATCTACTCCACTCTCAACAAATCCAGATTTAAAGTTGTGCTGCTGTGCGTGCAGCGCGCAGCCATACACACAATGGAAATTGATCGGTGTTACTTGTGACTCTGGGAGTGAAGTCGTCAAGTGTACTCTTCCTTATGTCCTCTGCGAAGGATGCTATCGTAAGCGCTTTTGCGATCAGAAACAAACACGATACCTGTGTAACATCGCCGTTTTCCCCTTAATGGAGCCTCCCAAGAAGAAGCTGATTCCTCCAAGTTCGAATTCAACTACAATCGTCATGGTACTACTTTCTCCCCCATTTCTCCTCAGAGTAATCCCATGTGCCATAGTAATTCAAAACCCATTTCCAGCAGTCTCTATATCAACATTCCGGGCGGCACTCCTGCTTCAACTCCGCTCGGTACGCCCGTCGCTCCATCTGCATCTGTGTCTGCGTCCGCGTCTGCGTCTGCGTCTGCGTCTGCTTCTGTTTCTGCTTCTATTTCTGCTTCTGTTTCTGCCTCCCTTTCGACCTCGACGCCATCGTATGTCCCCGTCTCGGTCCCTCTCTCAACTCCCCTCTCCTCCGTCTCGGTCCCTCTCTCGGTCCCTCTGTCCTCCTCCACGTCCGTCCCGCCCCCTTCTCTCTCCTCCACGTCCGTCTCTGCTGTCCCCTCCGTCGCTCAGCCCGCTTCTCTCCCTCCCTCCGTCCTCCCGCAGCCCATCTCCTACCAGCCTCCTCTCCCCACGATGGATACCGGCGTAGACGACGTGCTGGGCGAGACGCGTGTGAGCGATCCGCACAGCATTTCCGGATACTCGCAGCCCGATCCGTCCACGGAAGCCATTCTGCAGGAGCTGGAGGAAGAGGAAGCGCTGGAGCTGCAGGACGACGCCATTTTCAACGGAAAGGCAGCGCAGGGAGAAGCCGAGGCGGAAGAGCAGGGAGAAGGCGAAGGCGAGGGCGAGGGCGAGGGCGAGGCGGAGGAGGGAGCACAGGAGCAGACGGAGGAGATCACGTTTACGCTGCCGTTCCGCCAAGGAAGCTTCTGGCGAACGTGGCTGATGTCGTTCTTTGTGGTGGATCGATACTCGATTCGAATGTACCCCAACGAAAAGCGGAACGAGCGGAAGATGAAGGAAATACTCCTGGTGGATGCGATGGTGCAGGTAGAGGCGAGAGGGCGCTGTGTCGTAGAGAACGCCGATCAATTCCGACGCCAAACATCCGTATTGCGTGGCGATCCGACCCGGCCAGAGCTCGGATTACACGAAATCGTTCGTAGTTGCACTGCCTTCGGCCGAAGAAGAAGAAGAATTCATTCAAACGATCCAGAAGTACATCAATCTCGCTCAGTCAAACGAATTCGGTGTTTGTTCCCAAACAAACAAGGCAATAAAACTGTTCGTACTGCTCCTTCACCTTCTTCACGATCGCCTCCACTACAGACCACTGAAAGGGCTCCACGTCCACAGGCAGCTCGACGCGCGGCCGCTTTTCCACCAGTCCGATCGAGCTGCTGTTTCGGAGCGAATACAGCCGTGAAGGTTGCGAGCCAGAGAACGAATCGGCGCTGTTCAGCCGCTTCGACGACCGGCCTCGCGTGATGATAAACCCGTCGTCCTCCATCATGCTCGCCTGCCGCTTCATCTGCGTGTATTCTTTGTCGAAATAGGCCTGCAGCTCGTGAGCCATAAAGGCAACATCGTCTTGTGGCTTGTTGTATGTGATGGCGTTGGTGAAGACGAGCTCCATCAGCTTCACGTATTCCGCTTCCGTCGTGATCTGGCCGTTAATGAGCCGCTGATAAATGGTTCCGAAATCCATCGGATTCTTGATGATGTCGAAGTAGTCCGGAATGTTGAGAGCCACAGGATCGACGGGGTGCAGGAAGGGACTCGCGAACTTGTTGGACTGCATCTTCATGTGGAGTCGATAGCATAAGTGAAGGGCTGGAGGTACGGACGGCGGAATTTTAATGTTGTCTTTCAGAAGAGACGACTACAAGTCAGCCGGGAAGGAAAGCCCGAACATTCCGAGTGAGGCGCGACTCTTTCGGAATGACGGAATCAGTGTGGCGAGGCCGATTGATGTGATAAATGCGAGTGCAGGCCATTTCCTGCGTCGCGGGATCGAAAAATCCCGAGAGATCGTACTGACCAAAACGATTCGAGCCAGAGCCAGAAACGATGTACTTCCCTTCCTTCTCGGTGAACTGAACGTGCATATCCGTCTCCGAAATCTTCTTCGGAGGCACGTACTTCATCCAAAAGTAGCCACGATACACTCCAGAATACGGAATGATCGATTTGGCTTGTTTTGATATATAGTAAAACTCGCTCGTTGGGCCGACATGCTTCCCGTTTATAGAATTACCCCACTACCAAATAATCAAAGTAAATAAAACAAAAAACGCGGCCTTTCCAGCAGCAATGGTCGTTTTCGACATAGTACTTTCCCTTCAATAATGGGATTTCGGATATTATTGTCGGTTCTCCTATAAATAAAAATGAAAGAAGCACCAAAACGATTTATACTAGCCAGATGAGTAGCTTTCCGCTTTCCATCCTGAATCTCAGATATATAGGATCCGTCTGTAGAATCAGACAGCTCATTGGGTGAAAGAGAAGGGACACTTGTGGGGGTAACAGTTACCACTTCCGTAGTAATGTCTTGTATTTGTATAGAACTAGCAGGCTTTATAGTATATTCTGAAGAATCTTTGTTGGGTCCAATTCTGGACAATGTCACTTTTAGAGAATCATTCCTAGACGGGAATCAATACAAGGAAGCCCATACTCTGTACTTTGAGGAGCTGAGCTCTCATTCATAGATACTCTAGAGGTCAAACTGAACACACGGCAAGTACCACTATATGACGAATACAATTAATATTCAAGATATTCAGCAAACCAAAATACACAAGAAGTAGTCCACAAATAACTCAGAGCTTTGTCGGCACAAACTCTAAATTCAGTATCTAGTACTGTTCAACGAATTGTATTCACAGTTGATTTGAAAACGATAAATGGTGGAATTAGTGCGTCCAATCAGTTCGCAGTTTGATGTTCTACATCAAACTCGTCCTTTCGTGATTCGTTGGAAGCAATGTCGGAAGCAAGCACTCGTATCGCTATTGTGGATGGTGAAAAGGTGGGTGCGGAGGGTTTGAGGTGATTGCTAGTGTAAACCTAGCCGTTGCAATTTGGAATGTAAGAGATACTGTCCCCTTGTGAAGATGGGGAAGCTGTGTGTAGAAGTCAAGTCTACCTCCAAGATCAGTTTCATCTCGGAAGAGCTGTGCATTGGATGTGGTATTTGTGTGAAGAAATGCCCCTACAAGGCAATCAGCATTATCAATCTTCCTAAAGTAGGTCAGTGTTGTGAAATCGACCTCTAGAGTCTTGAGAACGAAACGACACACCGATTCGGACCGAACTCTTTCAAGCTGCACAGGTAGGAATACGATCGAATGGTCCAACACTAGACTTCCCATTCCTCGTCCGAATCAAGTGTTAGGTTTGGTCGGAACGAACGGTATCGGTAAGTCGACAGCCCTGAAGATCCTTGCGGGCAAGCTGAAGCCGAACCTGGGTAGCTTCAACAACCCTCCGGATTGGGAAGACATTTTGAAGTATTACCGCGGCAGTGAGTTGCAGAACTACTTAAAGCGAATTCTGTTGGACGATCTGACGGCGGTGACGAAGATCCAGTACGTGGACATCATTCCGAAGCATCTCCGCGGGCAAGTGGAGAAGCTGATCAACGCGCGCGACAAGCGTGGGATCCGCGACTCGATCTGCTCTGTGCTGGAGCTGAACCACCTCATGAGTCGTGACATCGACCAGCTCTCTGGCGGTGAGCTTCAGCGCTTCGCGATCGCGATCACCGCCATGGCGAAGTCGGACGTGTACATGTTCGACGAGCCGTCGTCCTACCTGGACGTCAAGCAGCGTCTGCGCGCCGCCGAAGTGATCCGCTCGGTGCTGGAGGCGAAGGACGGCGTGTACGTGATCGTCGTGGAGCACGACCTCGCCGTGCTGGACTATCTCTCCGACTTCGTCTGCGTGCTGTACGGCCGTCCCGGCGCGTACGGCGTGGTCACGATGCCGTTCAACGTGCGCGATGGCATCAACGTGTTCCTCGCGGGCTTCGTCCCCACCGAGAACCTCCGCTTCCGCGAGCTGGAGCTGACCTTCAAGGTGGCGCAGACGGCGGACGACGTGAAGAAGGGCAAGCGCGACAGTCTGTACGAGTACGAGGCGATGACGAAGACGCTGCAGGGGAAGGGACACAAGTTCGTTCTGCACGTGGAGAAGGGCAACTTCAGCGAGTCGGAGATCATCGTGATGCTCGGAGAGAACGGAACCGGCAAGACCACCTTCATCCGCATGCTCGCCGGACTCATGAAGAGCGACGAGGAGGAGGCTGGCCGCGCCCCGTCCATCCCCGCGCTCTCCGTGTCGTACAAGCCGCAGACGATCTCTCCGAAGTTCCAGGGCTCCGTGGAGGACCTCTTCCAGACGAAGATCCGCGCCGCGTACATCCACCCGCAGTTCCAAACCGACGTGCTGAAGCCGATGAATCTCGACGGAATCATGGACCAGCCGCTGTCCGTGCTGTCGGGAGGTGAGCTGCAGCGCGTGGCGCTGGTGCTGGCGCTCGGCAAGCCCGCGAATATCTATCTGATCGATGAGCCGTCGGCGTATTTGGACTCCGAGCAGCGTATTGTGTGCGCGCGAGTGGGCGAGGAGAGCGGCGGTGAGACGTAGATTATCAAGCGATTCATTCTGCACGCGAAGCGCACAGCGTTCATCGTAGAGCACGATTTTATTATGGTAGGACGAAGAGACCGCATCATGATTGTAGGCGACCTATCTGGCCGATCGCGTGGTGGTGTACGAGGGACAGCCGGGCGTGGAGTGCACGGCGAAGTCGCCGGAGAGCTTGCTGACGGGAATGAACCGATTCTTGAAGCATCTGTCGATCACGTTCCGACGCGACCCGAATAACTACAGACCGAGAATTAACAAGATGGACTCGCAGAAGGATAAGGAGCAGAAGGCGAGCGGAAACTATTTCTTCATGCAGGATTAAGGGAAGGGACAGAGAGTTTTGGGGGAGTGTTTGTTGGAGAAGTGTTGTGTTGTGTTGTGTTGTGTTGTGTTGTGTTGTGTTGTGTGTTGGATGGGGATTGGGGCTGAAGAGAGAGTGATTGAAAAGGGTAATGAAGAGAGGACGATTGTTGGAAGAAGGAACGATGGCTGATAGAATAGTGAGGATTGTTCTGCTGTTACTGAAATCAAAGTAAGTCATCACGATTCAGGTCTTTTCAATCCGCATCATTCAACATCATAGCAATAAAAGTGTCGAATCTACTGTTGCCCCCAAAACATTCGCTCACTTCGTTAAAATAGAGGAAAAACCTCTCACTTAAACATAAAAAACCTCATAATCAAATCCATAACCCACATCATGTGAAAAACCACAACTCGATTAACAAACAACACAGGATAAAATAAAAGACTAATGAAGTTTCCAGACTTCTTCAAAAGCATTCATCAACTTGCCACATGCCACCGATCCACTCAACTACTCGTCACGCAAACCACCAATCCTTACAGGGTATTGAGAGAACGATAGCATAGTCTCGATGTAATCCAGGTTCAGATGACCATGAGCAAACGCACCAAACACAAAAACGAAGGAATCAACGTTCTTGTTGGCGTCCGTATTCTCGTTGAGCACCTCGACAAAGTCGAGAGGGTCGACTAACGTTCCAGTCACAGAGGTTCCGAAAATATGAGCTCCCGTAGGTAAATGATCTGTGATAGGATTCTTTATGACTTTCATGAGCCAATCTTCACCACTGTGAGAACGAATCTTTCTCTTGTCGAGCAATTGCACTAGTTATCATTGGACCACCGCGTTAGAACCAATCATGCTGCCAAATCGTTTGAATGTTCGAGGAACTCGTAGTTTAGGATTCACTTCAATAAGGACATTTTGGGATGTATGAATAAATATCTACAACTAAGCAAGCTCTAACCGATGGATACACGAAGCATTCCTGCCTTGTTCAGGACAGAATCTTGTAAAGTGAGCAAACACTACAAATTAAGAAATTACAGAAAGTCATACTTGATGGCAAATATCAGGACGGGACTCCGAGGCATCTCTTCCCATCTTCTTGAGAATTCCTTTATGGTCGTCTGCATTCAAGAGAACATAGCCCTATGACTTAAAAGAGAATCAAATTACCCACTTTCTTTGATTTCACAGTTTCAAGACAGGCACCCTCGAGAATAATGATAACCTGCTTTTTCTTTTTGTTTGCCTGATTATCTGACTGCATAGCTGCTGGTGTAGTCGATATTGCCTACGCTTTAATCAAAGTGTACTTTTCTGGAATTCCAGTTATTCCCCCGACTATGATTATTCAACAAACAACCCAAGTAAAATACAACTATTGACTAATTCCTAAAAACGGGCGGCTGCTTAATGCCCTGGCCATGTATACAGTGGTAGCTGAAATATCGATAAGGCAAGGAAGCCAACGTTGAGAAGGTACACAAAGTGAAGGAGTATTGACTTGAAACATGCCATCGAGGTTATTTGATGAACATTTCGATTCAAACTGAAGTGAAGATGGACTAGATACAGGAGAATTTAAGGGAATCGAGGAGGACACATCCTCTAGATTCTTTATTTTTGCGCTGCTTCTTAGATCATGTGTACGTAGTCTAGACATGTTCAATTTCTTCTTCTTAAGTTGCTTTACTAGTCGTAAGGAGTAAAAAACGGAGTTTACATCGATAAGCTTCACGTTGATGTTGACGACAAAGATCACAGTTTGAGGTAGACGCCTCTGTGTACATGCTAACAAAGTGATCCAGGCTTTTTGCCACACCACAAGTTTGACAAACACGAGTTGGTATGTTCATTAGTGGAACCTGGACGGGGTGTTCTGGACTATGAGATAGCTCCATAACTCTTTCCAAGATAGAATTTAAAAGAAAATATTAATTTTAATGACAAAGACACAAATAATGTAAGATAGTACATTAAACACAATGAACTTAAAATAGGGATGAATTATGGAATACTGAGTTCGATTGATTCTATTAGAAAGTGAGACCTAAACACTAAAATAAACATCATGAGGAGATTATTCCAGGAAACAAATATACAGACTATTGAACTCATTTAACAAACTCTCTAAATCTGTGTTATCTGCTGAGTTTGGAAGACTTGATACCGAATTGGGGACTGCTTTGCCTCTTTCTTCTTCACATCCTTCTGCATCCACCTTGCTTTGTTACGGAACAATACCATTTTTATAAAGATATGTTATACCCCACTCCGCTTCCTCTGTAGATTCTTCAACTACCACCTTCCTTTCCCATACCTGTGGCTTCCACTTCCCTGCATATTGCTTTTGCAACAAGAGACAATCAGGATTCTCACAATCTTTGCAAGGCAGAAGCAACCCTGTGGGGAAATGGTTTGTGAGCGAGTTAAAGCCGAGGTAATACGATACCTGACCAAAACCTAGTAAATACTTTAGAGTATTCTGGGCTAGCAAGCCAGCAATGATGCCCATTGTGGTAGGAAGCGAAGCTGTGCAAGCACCGTTTCTTCTTATTTGACTTTCATCCATCCCTGAAGAAACGGCGACGGGTGGAATGCACTGGAAGCAAGCAGTCCTTCCAGGAAGCATGAGCTGAATGTGCCCATTCATTGCGTCCTCCGAAACCCCGCTCTCCATCCACGGCTGATTCAGTTTGGTGCAGGCGGTATTGATTGTCTGCCTTGCCGCGTAATTATCAACACAGGAGAGGACGAGGTCAACAGAATTCGATTTTAGACAATTGAAGAATATCTCATAGGAGGAAAATAGGAATAAAGGAAAATAGGTGGTAGAAATGGTATAGGATATTGGTTGTAATGTCACAATTGTAGCAAGTATATTCCACATCAGGATTAATTGACTATGTAGCAACTGTACTACAAAAATACCAGCAGAGTTTCCTTGGCAGCTTCCACTTTAGGGAGGGAACACTGAGATGGACGATAAAATAAGCGATTCATATTTTCGACCTCTACTGTATCGTAATCAAATAAAATCAAGGATCCTATTCCACAACGTGCTAACATTTCAGCTGTAACACTTCCAATCCCTCCGACTCCAACAATTACCACCTTTTTCTTGCGGATCTCATCGAAATTCTCACGAATTAGAACTGATCCTCACATTTACTTCCACAACGCCCATATCTTTCAAAGCCATTAGCCTACTGTAAGCGCCGCTTGATGCACTCATTTCCTTTAATATAAACCACAGTAAACACTCTATTCCTCAATGGTTTTTGGAATTCCACTTGTTGTCAACTCTTTTTGAGTAAGAAAAGAATGCTCTCTTCACGATCTGGATATGCAGCTGTGAAAAGAGTATTCTTGAAAATCAAATGTACAGGATATTGTCCCGGAATTATACAAAACGGAGTAACTACATTGTCTTATTGTTATTCAACGAACCGATCGCTAAACAGTGACCAGGAGATGTTTTACTTTTAAATCCACACTAAAGAATAGGTTTGAATATAGTGAGATATACAAGGGCAAGAAGCGAAAGTGGCGCTTCGATAATAAACAACACTGTTTGACTTTACTTCGTCAGGTATACACAACAGATAGAATGAAAATGTAGAATGAAGCCGCAGTCAAAAAGAAATGGTGTAGCAGAATCTATGATTATTCTAAGCAGGAACTAGCCTACATCTTCCTTCCCAAGGTGGAGCAGCAAGAAGAAGGTGACATCTAGGACTATCCCCTTTCTGTCAAAGGTCCTTATTTGCAGTATTGCTTGTGGAACGCTATCGGAATGGGACTGAGCTTTGCTGGAGGAGTATTGAGTACGCAAGCGCTCCTGTATGATTCAATCATCGTCCTTATTGAACAGAGTTGCTGCGGGAATGATATCTGGAACTGCGCCCATGGCAGGGGTGATAAATTGGATTTTGAAGGATGGCTTAGGACACTTAGGAAGCATGGTATTCAGTGCGTAATGCTCTCTATTTGCGGTGAACATTAGGATTGTCAGCGATCGGTTTGATGCTGATACTCGAGGATGGAGGCTTTTCTCAAGTTTCACGCAAGAACTCTCTTCTTGGCTTGAAATGATCACTCCTCTCTTTCCGAACTGCTTTCTCGCTCTCGCCACCATCTCGAACATTGGCAAAAGCATTTCATTTCTGGCCAATGGCGCGACGGGAGCCGGAATCCGCTATGGATTTGCAAATGCGATGAACATCGGAGATGTGACAGCGAAAGAAGGATCCCAAACGTCCGCTGTGTATCTGCTAGGAATGCTCTTTGGTGTCTCGGTCTCTTCTCTCCTAGGGGACCAAAGCATGTCGACAATCTTCGCCTCTGTGATTTGTATGAGTTGTCTCTCTCTCTACGCGATGAATAAATCGCTCCGATGTGTGACTCTTCCCACTTTAAACACGCAGGTCGTTTCAACTTTGGAGCATTACCTCTAGCGCAGCGAGTTAGCCTGCGTGGATTACTGCAGTCAAGGCATTATTTATCAGCCAGAGGCGGTAGCGAAGCTAGAGCGATACTATTTGCCTTATCTCCATGTGGCCGATTGTGGCACGGATATTCGATTGGGCATGTCGCTCCATTCGGTTTTGTCGGCCTATCGATCCCTGGAGGAAGCCGATGATGTGATTCAGCTGTTCGGAGACTGCAACTACATGCTGAGTTACTGCGATTTGGTTGGATCGGACGAAGAGAATGACTTGTAGAAACAGGGGATGTATCGCTCCATCATCAACAGAACGGAGAAGACGAAATGCACAATCGCTATTTCTCTCAACTCCTCGGCTTCGACAAGAGATCAGCTGCAAGCCTATCTCCATGCTCTTCTTCTTCGTCATGCATCGGGAGGTCGCTTCACAACTGACTTGCAACTCCTAAAAGAAACGAAAGAGCGGTCGAAGCTTCTTCTCCCGTTTTTCGTTCGCGATTTAGAGCAGAATGGCTGGGATTGTATCCATCTATTTCTGGAAGAAACAAAGAAACGCTATGTTGTGGAACGTGCTTGAAACAAACTGTTTGATAAAGAGACAATTTACATGATAAAGAAGCTGCTTCGAGTCCCTCCTCGCTGGATGGCGATGGTGTTGATCTCCAGCACCTGCCGCGTGGGACGTTCGGGCTCGGGATTGTGAGGAATCTCTTTCGATTTCTTTGAATATGGATTGATGGTGCTGGAGAAAGGCTTTGAGATGTAGTGAATGTCCTTCACATTGATCCCATTGCCTACGTAGACTGATTTTTTCTTGTTGTTGTAAGCAAAAATGAGCAAGAACAGGAATGCGACAATCAAGAAAAAGGTGAGAAAGGTTCCAAGGAGATTCACAGCTGTCTCTGTGCACGCTAGCAATGATGCAAATCTAGAGAGACTACAGGTAGTGCCTACGAGAGTAAGCGAGTGATTGCCTGAAAAATCTGTAAGAAGAAGTTCATCACCTTCTGGACATGAGCGATAGTAGGGAATAAGATATACGCAATGAATAGGTAAGGGACGATGAATTAAAAATCGATGATTGCACAAAAGAAAACACAGAAGAATTACACTTTACAGAATCTAGCGCCAATCGTTGACCTATGGCTGTGGAACTTTCACATGCGAAGTAATCTCTATCTTTTTCGGTATTAAACTGTACTGTCACGTCGTCTATCTGAAAAGTAACATTATCTATTATGACAGCAGAAGAATTCACATACAATCAAAACTGATTATGCTACAGCTACAAATAATGGAGATAAACAGGAATATACCTCATCAAAAGATCCAAACAAAATATGCTTCCATCAGCAGATTGATAGCTGCAATTCGTTGGGATCTGGTGTCTTTCAAACCTCACGGGAAACGTAATCTTCCCTCCGTAAAAATTGTACCTTAGCTGCAAACCTAAGTAATTACCGGATTGGAATAGCTACTATCATTGTAATGAGCTATATTAGCTTCGAAGTCTCCACAATCTACAACGTAACGGACAATATTACAATATTACAAACGGGATTGTCACTATTACGAATGAAAACGTTCTTTCTTCGATCAGAAGAGAAATCCATACTCTTCACATAGAACGAATTCTTTGTGTGCTCTGCAGTAGCAACAAGAGTAATAATTGTGAAGAAAGCTAGAAAGAATCCATCTTTCGTTCCCATATGAAGAAATAACCAAAATAGTGAGACTCGTATCATAATGACCAGAAAAGCTGACTATTGAATAATATATATTAATTGTATTGTATGCTATGGAATTTGGATATTTCGATGAATGTGAGTGAAATGGGTCAAACTTGGTTCGAAATAATGATGAAATGGAATGGTTATCGGATGGATATCGATGGAGAGAGATATTCTTCATTGAGAGATGAATGGCGCAAAATTGGTAAAGTAATGTAATAAACAATGATTATGATTGACGGATCGCCATTTTTATTACAATATTAAAAGAACGGAGAAGTGTTCAAAAAAGCTGAAGGTCCTTTACTAAATAGGATGTACAGAATGCAGTAATGCCTTGATGAATATATATTAAAAACAAACTAGCTGTGCTGTATACTAGGTAATCTTCATTCGTTGCCTTTAAGTGTACTTTATAGGCTAGAAAGTAATATTCTTTCAATTTCATGCCTGTTTTGAAATGGCTATGGGCAATGAAATAACCAAATCCAAGAATATGTTAACTGAGCTCTGTTTGTGATTTACATTTATTTTTGATGAACATCCAAAAATACAGCAACAGCAGCAGCAACAACAACAACAAAGAAACATCTGATCCTGGCTCATACGAAATGGGAAAAGATGAAAGGCAAAAGTCTACTCGGGTCCAATTTTGGGAAGGCAATGTGTCTGAAAAGCTAAAAATACGTTCAACAAAGAAGAGCAGCGATTATATCGAAGTTGAACTGGAATCACCATTTCAAGGATTCTTTGTCAAAACACATTTTCGATATGAAGAAATGCATGGACTATCCACAATATATTCAAAAGCAGGATTAATTCTAGGAGAATTGACATTTGTGGATGGAGTAGCTACAGGACCTTGTACATTGAATGATGAGTCAGGAAGACTGTTTTTTAAAGGTAAATTAAAAAAGGGATATTGTCAAGGTCGAGGAACTGAATATGATGAATATGGAAATGTGATCTTTGACGGCTTTTATAACCAGGGAAAGAGAATTGAATTTATCGTGCCTCTAAAAGAAATACCAGGATATTGGAAGGAGTATGATGAGGATTGGAAGCTGATAAGTATAAGTGAACGTGATGACTTTGGGAGAAAGAAAGGAATCTGCTATTTCTATGGTGGTGATGAGAAGCTTCGAACAATCAGTGAATGGAATGAGGACAGAGAAACAAGGCGTTGGGGATACTGCACAATATATGATGAACCTAGAAGGATTTGGTATAAGGGACATTTTGACAACGGTTATTGTCAAGGTCGAGGAACTGAATATGATGAGTCTGGAAATGTAATATTTGACGGATTTTATAATAAAGGGAAAAGAATTGAAACGATTGTTCCTCTAAAAGAAATGCCAGGATACTGGCAGGAATACGATGAAAACAGGAAACTATTGAGCGTTACTCAGCGAGATGATTATGGAAGAAAGAAAGGAATATGCTATTTCTACGATGATAAAGACAAAATATGTCGAATTAGTGAATGGATGGAAGATAAAGAAATATCTACGTCAGGTGATTGCGAAATTTATGATATTCCCCGTAGCATTTGGTTAAAGAAGCATTTTGAAAATGGGATGATAACTCGAACAATTGCATTCAAGGGGAAAAATGGATACTGGGAAGAATACGATGATTATGATAAACTAGTATATATCGGTAAAAAATACAATAAACGAAAGGACACTGAGATCCATTACATTTATAACAATGGGAGTATAAATAGAATCAGCCTGTGGAAAAGTGGAAAAGAAGTTAAACTGATCAAACAGTTCAATGGCTCTGCAATGGAAGAGTATTATGAGAATGGACAAAAATGTTATGAAGGAGGATTCTTGGATTCTTTTGAATTAGATTATCCCCGAAATGGTGATGGTGAGGAATATTATCCAGATGGGAAAACTCTATTATTTAAAGGAAGTTATAACAATGGAAGAAAACATGGAAAAGGCAGAAGCTATAAGAATAACGAAATAAACAGGAAGACAGTTTGGTTAGCTGGTTATTCTAAAGAAGGATTGTTGCTTACACTCTTGGCAGTAATAGCTATGTTCATCGCATCACTTTTGATCGATGTGATTCTGGGTCTCGTTTTTCTAGTGATTGCTATTATGCTGATTATTATCCGATGGAGTTGCTCTAAACTATTAGGCAATTCAATTTGCAACAGAACTGACCTAAAACTAATGGCAGACTATTTCAGAGATGAGCATTCGAAGAGTACCAAAACCGGAAAAGGAACGAAAAGGATACTGAGTTGTTTCTTTGGTAATATTTATTTTTCTGTTATTTTCTTCGTATTTTTATTGCTGATCTGTATTTGTACTAGTGCTCATTTTTACTACAATGCTGTTAATACGTATGTTAGTGTATTTCAAACAACATACACTGCCAAGTCATTCAGAAATAACAATATTGCAGGCTTTCGATTAAGTTTCAAGCCCTTTCTTAAAACAATAGAAATAGAAAACCAATGTTTTGAAGTTGCTTCTGTGTTCCAACTCAAGGGACTGAACTCTCTAAATTCTGTTAAAATCGGTTCGAAGTCGTTTACTAAGGGAACAAGCAATTTCGGAAATGATGTATCGAAATCATTCCATATTTTGAATTGTAAACATTTACAATCAATCCAGATCGGCGAATCTAGCTTTAGTGATTTTGGAGGTGACTTTGAGATAAGAAACCTTCCTTCTTTGAAATCTCTTGAAATAGGTGTGATGAACACATTATCCTATAATTTCTATTCTGTAAAATCGTTTATAATTGAAGGTATGGAGCAGTATTTCTCAGGTTGGTAATTGAATAGATCTTCCTACGCTCAACACGATATCTTTTGGAGATTCTGCATTCTATGATTTCCAGTTGGCTGCTTTCAATAGTAGGGAATACCACGAGTGTGAGTGCTAATGACTAGATCTTCCTGAATTGCATTCAATCAATCTGGGTCAGCGCGCATTCTATGGTAAACATGATGTGTCTTGTGCATTGATGATGGAAGGTACGCCAAGTAATGAGTGATGTATAAACAATAGATCTTCCGAAGTTATCATCGATCCATTCTGTAGGATATAGTTTCTATTTTCCTCGCAATGTTACACTCAACAGTATTGCTAGATAGTAATTGTAATCATAATGTAGACATTCCTAATCTTGAAAGTGTGGAATTGCCAGATTCATTTGGATATTATTTTTACTTAACTGTAAATAGTATGTGTAAAACGATTTTTGTATAACGTGTAGATGTTCATAAATTGTTGTCACACTATGTACCTAGCAATGTTTATCACATCGATGATTTGTATGAATCAGTGGATGTGATTCCATCGGATGCTGAAAAGATCATAGTGAAAGAGAATTCTTTTGGTAATGCTGAAACCTTATCAATCAATAACTACCCGAATTTGACATCCCTTGTATTTGAAGATAATACGTTTAAGAATGTGAATTCTGTGGAGATCAATGGAGATAATATCGAAGAAGTTGTTATTGGGGATAAGTGCTTCTCGAAGTCGGAGTCTGGAGTGGAGGGAGGTAGAAGATTGGAGGATACAGGCAGTATTGATTTGACTCTTCCACATACAGAGCATATCAGAATTGGAAGTAAGTCAGCATTTAATGTGAATACATTGGTGTTCAATGAGCTATTAGAGAGAGTGGAATTTGAATTGGGCAGTGAATCGATGAGGAATATCAATTTGATTCGGTATCGGTTTGGAATCTCAAATAGTACTATTTACAGTATCAAAATGGTAATTGAAAGTAATAAAAGACAAAATGAGAAAATCGAGGTTGAGGTGATTAATACTCCTACTCCTACTCCTACTCCAACACCCACTCCAACTCC